TATATATATATATATATATATATATATATATATATACGAGATGGACATAACCCTAAACATAATTACCTGGAAGGTTGAAGAAGACGATAATGGAGGCAGAATTGAAGGTTGAAGAAGACGACATTGGAGGCAGGATTGAAGGTTGAAGAAGATGACGATGGAGCGATGGATTGAAGGGTGAGAGCGTAAGCGGTGGGGAGCGATTTTGCCTGAAATCGTTTAGGGTTTATGAAATTGAATTGGGTTAGGGCGATGAAATCGTTCCTGTTGGCGATGAAATCCGATTTCAGGAATTTAGGGAGGGAATTGGTTTTCTGTTGGAGATGAAATCGTTTAGCGATGAAATAGGATAGAGTTTTTGATTTGAACGGGTTTTTGATTTGAACGGGTTGAGGAATTGCTTTGATAGGTTGTACCATTAGCAATAAAAGTTGTTTTTAAGTAATTTGGCATTAATTGGTAGTACTATATGCTTAAAAGGTTGTTTTTAATAATTTTAAGAGTTTTAGTCAGATGCTTTATAAGCTAGTATAGATATATTAATTTTTGTGTTACTAAAAAATAAAGTATACCTCTAAAAAATAATAAATAAATTATATTTATAGTCCATGTGGTTGTCACTTATGGACCTTGTTAACACCGTTAGTCACAAATGTTAAAAGCGAAATAAAATGACAAATACAGTGATAAAAAAATATAATTAATTTAAATTAAAGAATATATCTAATTTATATTTTAGTAACACAAAAATTCCTATATATGTGTTTATTTATATGAATTAGGAAGAACTGCCACCTCCTCTATAAGAGGAGTAAGAGCTATAAGAGCTGAACGATTATTCCTATCCAGCGCAGTATTGCTTTTGGTGACAAGTTTCCTGATCAAATTCTTGATAAAACCCAATTACAAAGATTTTTGGGAAGTCATTTATTTGAAAAAAAAAAGTCAAAAAGAAAAGCATATAATTGGGTTGGGATATTTGTCAAATGGACCGGCCCATACTTTTGATGGACCCAATCTAAAATGATACTATAGAAATAGATGGCCAAAGATTGGTCTCAGGCCGAGTCGAACACGGCTTAAATCGGTCCTGTTTCAAAATAGTGATCTTGTAACTGGTAACGGTCCAAACCCAAATACGAAGGTCCGATGAAGGTGTATGAGACCCGGTTATGAGAATCGGACCAGGACCGGGCCCAACCGGTCCTATATTAAAAAAAACAATATGATTTTTTAACTAAATTCTTTTGAAGTTTAAAAAAAATACAAATGTATTATTCCAATATACTTGAAAATATGTAACTGGGTAAATTGAATACACTTAAAAAGTATGTTTTTTTGGGAGAATTATGAACGTTTGTGAGTTGGTATCTTCCTTCATACATCATATGACTTACATATATTGAATAGAGAATAAATGAGATAATTACATACACTTAAAAAATACGTTTTATTATAATTTTGTAATTAATTACTAATCAAATATACTTAGAAAATTAGAAATACATTTAAAAAATACATTTATTTGAAAATTTTGGCGTGTTTTTTAACGAAAAAACTGTAACTAGACCTTAAATAGCGGTCTCCATTGGTCCCGGGCCGGGCGATCCCAGTTCTCTGCCAATTCCAGAGCGGACCAAGTCCATTTAACCTCTCTAAATGATATCTTCCAATCTTGGGCTTAATGGACCCAATTTATAAAGATGAATGGCCCATGCTTTTAAATCTATTTCATCATAATGATAATTACGATTAAGGGGTAATTTCGTCTTTTTTCCTTCATAACTGTTGAAGAAACAATAACATACATCTTGGTTATTTCCAAGGTTCTAAATGGTATAAGACGATGTTAAACCTTAAGTCTTACATGTCAGTTGTCATGACGAGTAAGTGACATTTTTCAAGACGTGACATAAGATGACAAATTTATATGTATATATAGAATGACCATATCAAATGAGAACTCAGTAGTTTGCAATAATCGTGAGATCCAATGTGAGTCAATTATTTAAGATAATTAATGTTAATTTCTTAAAATAAAGTAAATTGGTAAATTAGTAATTTTATCTTCCCAATTTGTATTTACTTAAATTATTTAACTACTTTATCTCTCTCTCTATATATTTAATGACTCTTTCTATCTCTCCATATTTAACGACTCTCTCTCTCTCTCACACACACACACACATGCTTTTTTGCTTTTGATTGTTCCTGTAGTATGTACCAATTGTCTGTGTAAAGCCAACTCGAGACGGGTTATGTCTGATAAAATGCATCACAATGTGTATTTTTTTAAGTGTATCAGGTAGCACTGCTTTACGAAGTGTATCGGGTAGCGTTGAATTATTTTCGTTATGTTATGAAGGATATTACAATGTGCATTTTCGTTGTTTTACAAAAGGTATGACAGTGTGCATCTTGTATGTATATTGTGTATCATAGTGAATATTGTTTGTATGCATCTTTTTTAACAGTGTCAATGTTTTTTTTAGGTATCACATTATGTACCTTATGTTCACATGGTGTTCACCAGAATAAGGTTCGTCGAAGAGAAGAGAAAAGAGATAAAATTTCTAAACTACCTAAAATGCCCTTTGGTTAAAATTTTAAGTCAAAATTACCAAAAATTATTAATTTTCTATTATATCTTTGATTTATGATTGAGATTGAATCTCACAATTATCACAAATTACTGAGTTCTAGAAAAACCCCGATATAGAATCGAGTATATATATATATGGGCATAATTAAATGAGTTCCATATGTTGTGATAACCGTGATAACTTTTACCTAAAGATATTGTTTTACATGTTTTTTTCTCATATAAGGCAAACATTTAATCTATTGATGAACATATATTTGTTTTACAATATCTTTGCTTCATATGTATTCGGTTTACAATGTAAAACCTTTTTAGATGTAAATTTTGTTTCACAAAAAAGGTAAAAGAGTTCATGTTGTGAAACAAATATATATTAATCTATATTCAAAATTTTCAAGGTTATTACAATTTCACGGGTTTACAAAAAAAAATCCTTCTATATATATGTTTTGTATATATTAATAAATCTAAATTCATATTAGAAGAAGAAAAATCATATGTATCAGCATTATATAAATAGTATCTAATAAATCCAAAATAGAATTTGGAATTGTAATTTTACAACTTCGTTTTAATTGTGAGTCCATGATGTGTGTGAATGTGTGAAACTGTAAGTGATGTGATTATGATTAAATTTTACAAAAGTGTAAATCTAACGTGGTATAAAAGCACAAAACCCTTAAAAAATTTAAAAACTAAAAGATTTTTTAAAATCACGCCTCCCAAGAAACTCAAGTCCTGCGGCACGCCATGCATGAGCAACGCCATACCGCGCCACCTTATAGAAACGCTATAGGCCATATCGTAACGACGGGTACGCGTCTTCCGTTTTGGCGCGCCTTTTAGAACCATGGTTATTTTCGTGTCATATAGGTGCAACCGATATTCTAATGGTTAAGGGCAATTTTGTCTTCTCATTTCAAAATTCACGAGTCGAATGTCAAGTAGAATATCATCATTCCGTTTCCTCAGATTTTGTAAATTTGGAAGTACTTAATTCTCGTTGCTATGAAAAAAAAAGGTAAATTACATTAAAAAGTATAGCCAAAAATCGACTGCATTCATAGTTTGGAGAACATAAACTTAGATACGGGACCCTTTCGTTAGATTCCTAAAATATGAATAAAAGTTGGGTTCATTTTAATGCAAATTGCACCCTTCGACCACAATTCACTTACGTCACACTTGACAAAACTAAATTAAATGCAATTTTGAACATTCTGTTTAAAAATGACGATTGTTTGATAAGTATACTCAATAAAAGATCATTTAAATAGTAAGAACTTCCATTTTAATCCTTTAAACCATGTTTAACCAGAATTCTATTCAATAAAAGTATCGAATTCAAGAAAGAATAAAAATTTCTTTGTGGTCATGGAGGTTCAAATGCAATGACTCGGGGCTACCCGCGAAACAAGTGGTCACACTGGAATTAGTCGCCTCGCATATCGGGTTGGATATCCAGGTTAATCAAAAAAAGTTTTTACTATTTTGGACTAGATCAACTACCTAGACCTTGTAACAGAAGTAATTATAACTTTGAAGGTTTATAAAGATTGAAATCAAGATCATCTCCAACAAGTATGCTATATTTTTTTTCCTTTTAAATTTGGAGATTTTTTCTTTCTCTCTCATTTTTTCCTCTATTTTAAAAGATAATTTAGCATAGCCATGGAACATATTTTTCTCAAATCTCTAAAATTTCTAAAATAACATAACTGTAGGAGATACTCTAATTAACCTAAACACTTACCGGTAAGAATCAACAGTCTCACATATTTTATCGAGTAAGGTTATGATCCATTAAAACGGTACGTATGAAACAATTTACCCTGTAAGTATTTACAGGCAATAGTTGCCACTTTCACTTATCGGGTAAGATTTTCGGTTCTGTCATTGCTTTAAGATTTTCGGTCCTTATCATGTTCACCTAATAAAGTAAATGATCCGATAAACGTTTATCGAATTTGATAAACAACCCCTGATTAGTATTAGTAGTAAATAAAATAAGAAAAATGAAAACTTGTGTAACAAGGCCTGTAAATTAAACACCATAACAAGTAATCTGTGAAGGTTGACTTTGACCCTATCACAAACATAAAGTCTTCTTCCTCCTCATTCCTCATTTACATACTTAACCTTTAACTTCAACCACTCCATCACCTTAATCTTCCAAATCAAACACACACACACACACATATATATATATACATACATACATACATATATATATATATATATACATATACATATACAGGCAAACACAAAGATCTCTATTTTTTGATATCCCAGCACCTTTAAACTTCAAGAAAAGTGAAAAAACGCCAAGAGATGTCTTCGTCTATGTCAAGATTGATTTGGGATAATTCTATGTTATCTTTGAAATCTTCCGATAAATCTCTCCCATTTAATCCGATTTCAAAAACACCTTTCTTGAAGAACAAGGAATATGCATGGAATTTGCAGGGCAGAAGTTGCAGAAGCTTGCAGTACTTGATCAACAAGCCGATGAATCAACAAACTATGTTTGTGATAAGAAGCAACGTTAATCCACCACCAGCTGGAGTTCCAGATCCTTCTGGACCTCCTTCTGGTTCCTTGTAAGATCCAATATAATTAACCCCCTTTTGTTCTCAATTAACTGCACTTTCTTCTAGCTTCTCTAGGGTTTCTAGAGAGAGAAAAATAATGGGTCCCACTTTAGTTTTCTAAAGAGAGGAAAAACCAGAAAGATTTGAACCAATTGGATGTGGGTTCGAGATCAGACGATTGGTAATCACATGTGTATGTATAGATGCTTGCTTATACGTACATCTATCAGACGTTCTTGATCAATCCAACTACTGTAAGTTGAGATTCTTGAACCATTTGGACATGGGTTTGGTGACGTTTGAATCCTTAACTTCGTAGGAGGCCAAAGACTCCTATACCGTTAGGTCAAAGACCCTTTAGTAATACGTAACTACTTTGATTTCTCATTTTATTTAAATTTTTTGCAGGAGAAATTGGATTGTGGGAATTGTGTTAACATTCGTTTTACCATTTTTCACCCATAAATGGGGATCATTTCTTCTACTAAAAAGTAAGGAATCAAAATGTAAATTGAAGATCGTTCAAGAAAAGATTCATCGATCGATTTATTTTTGAATTGAAAAAGATCGAATTCTGATGAATTTGTAGATAAAATAGACAAGAAAATAGAGACGACGGAGCATGTCGTAAAAGGTATAGAAAAGGTGGCGGAAAGAGTTGATAAAGTGATTGATAGCATAACTGATGATCTTCCGGAAGAGAGCAAACTGAAGAAGGCTTTGGTATTTGTGGATGAAATTGCCGAAGGAGTCGCTAAAACTGCTCATGTTGCAGATACTATCATCAATAAGGTTTTTCCCTCTCGATCTTCCTGTTTTTATAGATTATGTGTAACCAATACAACCCAATCTCAAACGTCCATTTCATTTGATTAATATGTTATTTCATAGAAGTTTTGATTGTTTCATAATATAAATTATTGATCATAATTAATGAACAATATTCATCTTTCATAAATTTTCAAATCATAATAAATAAACTCTCATCATTTCCATAAATATCTCAATTTATTGGGTTGTAAAAATGCGATGGGTTGTATTTGAAACAATATATCACAATGTCTTTTTGGCGTAATACGAAGTGTATCACAATATATCAGATAATGCTGTTTACTAAGTGTATCACACTGTGGTTTTTGTTATTTAATGAAACATATCACAGTGTGCATCATTTGTTTGCCATAATAAGGTTCGTCGGAATAAAGCTCGGAGGAAAGAGGAGAGATGATAGCTTTTTCAAATACCTAAAACACTCTTTCATTAAAACTTTAAGTCAAATTATCGAAATTATTATTCTCCTAATTTAACCATTAATTTGTTGTTGAGATTAAATCTCACAGTTATCACAAACTAATCAATTTTTCCTTGAACGACCCCATGTATGTGTGTATATATATGTGTGGATCCAAATTTTTTGTTAATGAAGGTCAGAATTTGAATTTATAAAAATTTTAGGTTATATCCAAATTAACATGTATTTATTTTGTGCATTTACGAGTAATAATATATTTTTGAAATACAAAAAAACACTATTATACATTTATATAAAATATTTTTAATATTAAATCTTATATTTATTTATCGTCTTGGACAATCGTTTGCTATTGCGTGTGGACTTGTATATTATATAACCCCCCCCACCAAACAAGATTAAACATTTAATTGATGTTTTCTTTTGCGGATTTTAAGGAAAATTAATATATTAATTAAGGTCCATTTAATAATAAAACATCCAATTTTTTATTTTTAGAAATTTAATTTAAAACCCAAGTGGAGGTATGTGCATGTTAGGTTGTAATTTTATTAAAACTATATATATATATATATATATATATATATATATATATATATATAGAAAAGTGCACTTACTAACATGTTTTTTTTATTGTGAAGCGGAGGATAAACGAGTGTGCGATACACGTTTCTATTTATATTAATAATAGACGTGAATTTTTTTACAACATTCATGATAATTGTAATAACTTTGAGAATTTGTGCATCATCTATTATTTCACATATATTTTTTTATTCTAAGATCAGAATTTGGAATATTGAGTAACATATACTTGTTTTACATTGTGTTTGTTTCAGGTGTACTCATTTCACAATGTGAACCCAAAAAATACGCACAAAAAGTCACATTATGAACCGATTACATGTGAAACAAATACATTGTGAAACAAATATATCAATACATTAAATACTATACATAAATATAAAAAAGTCGTATAAAATAACACATTATGCACAAGTTCTCAAGGTTCTCTTTATTTTAAGGGTTCTTTCTTAAATTATTAATCTTATATATATATATATATATATATATATATATATAAAATTAATTAATTGATTTAAAATAGTGAAAATGGAAATGGAGCAGGTGGAAGAAGCTGAAGATAAATTGGATTCATTTATTCACCAGGAAAACCAAAAGGGGGAGGAGACTGCACAAAAGGCTAAAGACAAAGAGAGTCAAGAAATCACTGCCCAAGATCAAGAAAATGATAAATAAAATTAAAATCAATTAATTATTTAATTTCATTTGGTCAATCTTGACCACATCCATCGATATTTTTTATTACTAGAAGGATACTCGTGTAATTCAGCGAGATAAATCTCGATTTTAATGTTTAGTTTTTATTCTTTGTCTCTATCGATATAATGCGATTTTATGTGGTTTTGAGAAAACAATAATGTTTTTATTTTTGAATAAAATATAAATTTAAAGATAGCGTAAAAATTTGAAAATAAATAAATCGATATTAGTATCAAATTAACTATTTAGTAGTTCTCGTTTTTTGGTGTAACTTCTTTAATTCAATTTTTTTATTATAACTTAATTTAGATTTAATAACAAAGTAATTTTAGTTTTGGTTTAATAACATAATTTTTTTTATAAAAATAATAATTAAACATTCTGTTAGAACTCAATGATTATCTTAATTATATTTTAGATTTTCTATATTTAAAATGAATGTTTATCCTGTATTTGATTATGTTTATCTACAGTTTGTTGGACTAATTTAAAGATAAAGCTTTAATAAGTTGTATTTATGCAAATTTACTTATAATTTTGAATTTTAAGTAATGCATCAATAAACAGTGTTCATTATATAAAAAATGATTTTTAAGAGTTTTTGTTAAATGCTTTATAATATAGTATAGATTTTTAACCAGAAAACACCATAATTAAGTAAATATTCATGTACATTTTGGTGGTATTTTATTTAAAACAATGTATGTTTGATGTTTTGTTGATAATGATCTTAACCTTATTTAATTAGGGTATAAGTATCGTACGAAGTAAACCAGTTAAATCGAAACAATTTGGTTAATTTGCTAATTTGGGAATGTCTATGTGGTTAACTGGTTTAAAAAGATTTGAAACCGAAAAGTTTTATTCAACAATCAGTAAAAAGTAAAAATCAGTTATATCATCTTAACTAAATCATATATATGTATTTACACTGTATATAAATTACTAACAAATGTCGCTATATAATTTAAAGGTTAACTTAAAAAATTAAATGATTAATAATACACTTAAACCAATAACCTATTATTACTTAATTATTCCGTTGTTACGGTTCATCCAGTTGAAAAACGAATTTCGAATTGAAGTACTATATATAAGTAGTTGTTACGATTCATCCAGTTGGATAAACAGCTTATACCGGTGCCAAACTAATAATAAGTAGTTTTTGGAAAAGTTAAATCATTCTAACGTATAATAAGTTGATAAACACTTTTGTAGAAAATAATAAGTTGTTTCAAATTAGCAATCCCAAACACCCCCTTACATTCTTAAACCGAATGCTTCACATCATCATCGTTAATAACACATGCATACTAAACAAAATTAACAAATTAAAGTTACACAATGGAAAAAAAAAATAGAAGGCTACAACTTAATTCACAAGATTCATGTAACCTTACAATTGTTTGAAGTATATGGTCTTTGTGATGCTGCTTAGAGTTAAAACCAGTAAACTAACGTTTTGAAAACGATAACGCTGGTAGAATATGACAGTACAACGTTTTATCCTTCATACAATACAATATAGAAAATGACAGCACACATAACATAATTAAATCTTGATACTTGTCAAAGTTTAATCAAACTTGATAAAGAATATAAAACGAACAACCAAGCTCCATTTTTAAAGCCCCGTAACATTACATCTTCTTGTCGTATCATAACGAAGTCTTTAAGTTTCTTTTGTACTAGGATTCAATTAAAGAAGAAAACTAAAATTGTGCTCCACGCCAAATAACAAAACTGTAACGTTACGCTTTCAAAAAAAGAAAAAGGTTACGTCTTTATCTGATTTTCGTGATAGTGTTTTAACTTGACAAAGGTGGTGCTTGATTGGTTTGAGCTTGGGCTCCAAAAGTCAAAAGTGTCTGAAGGCCACAGGTTCAAATCCAATGATGAATAAAGATTCCCTTGTGACCATGTAGGTTCAAATACGATGCCTCTGCATTACCCGTAAAGCAAGTGGTTTTTCTGAGATTAATCAGCTCACATAGCAAGTAGGATATTCACGTTAATAAAAAAATGACGAGGACAAAACCTAACTTATTGACAATTATAGACACCTAAGAAGATGATGCTTTAAGATTGGATCAAACGTATAGAAATTGAACATGTGGGATAAGTTATTAGAATAAGAAACCTTCAACATTTGACCTTACAAAACAAACCTTTTCTAAGAAACTTCAAATCTTTTTCATCTACAAAAACCCTAAAATCATACCTACAAAGTCTTAATTTAGTTTCAAATTCATGGCTTTAATGGCGAGATCGAAGGTTATTTCTTATGGACGTTTAAAAGTAAGAAATCTTTACACCATAAACCGATCAACGTTTTCTCAAAACACGAAAACCCTTAACGGTTTTCATATGCTCCCAACCACGACCACCACGGCTTGCCAACGACGAGCGTTTTGCAAACTTAGCGGTAATCAAGAACCCCTTCCGCCACCACCTCCACCACCTCCACCGCCATCTCCGCCTGCTTCGAGTTCTTGGTAAGTTTCTCTTATCTAGTATTTTCGATCATTTAAGTTCTTAATTGATGGATTTCTACCAAATTTTTAGGGGAAAATGGACGATGGGATCAATATTGGTGACGATGGTTATACCCTTTATACAATTTAAAGGTATACATGTAATATTTTTGTTAGAAAAATGTAGTATAAATTATATATAAATGTAGTATAAATTAATATTTTTGAATTTGCAGAAGAAGTGGACGTGGTGATGGAGACAGCGGAACAGGTGATAGATGTTGTGGAAGTGGTGGCGGAAGCGGTGGATATGGTGGCGGAGAAGATCGCCGGCGATCTTCCAGACGGAAGCAAGCTGAAAACAACCATGGAGGCTGTTGAAGATATGGCGGAAACAGTCGCCGAAAAAGCTAAAAAAGCGGTGGATTTCATCGATGAGGTATGATTTCACTTTCAAACAATCCAACCCATCATTTTTCGTTCTAAAACAAATCAAATTCTTATGAATCCATGCATGAAATCTCTCAAGAAAACATAAATTAAATCTGATTATTAAAAAAAAAATCACAGGTTCAGGAAACGGAGCAGAAGTTGATGCCAAATGTCAAACCAGTCCAAGAAGGAACACAAGTGGCTCCTTGAGAAGCACGTCGATCCGACGGTTGACAAAATATGTCGAATTCTTTTAAAATTAATTAATGGTAGATGATTAGTTCTTTAATTATTCCTGTAGACGTATTGATAATTGACCTACTAACAGAAATAAAAGAATGATATTCTATTTGTAAATAAACTAGTTGTATATTCGTACAATGCAGCAGGATGTAAAAGCTTATTAAGATTATTTAATTTTGAGATATCAAATTCCTTAAAGATGTAACAAAACCTACTACGTTTGTATCTAATTTAGATTCAAATATACATCCATCCAAAATGTTGGTGTTAGTAGGTTCTACGATTATTCATAAACCCTTCATCACAACCCGAATGATTGGAGCGGTGGAGCAAAATACAAGCATTTGCCAATGACTAGAGCGGTGGAGCAAGATACTCGACCCGAATCACAACATATCTCGAATATATTGAATCAAAGAAACACTTGAAAGCAAATGAGTTTGTTAATGTATACAAATACTGTATATATAGATCTGTAGCTAAATGTCAACCTTTAAAAATAACCAGCTAGCTCAAACTCTAGTAGTAAAATGGAAAGCCAAAGGAAGACCTTTACAAAAGTATAAAAACGTGTGGAAGTTGTAAGGGTGTCGGTGCGACCGGAGGAGCGAAGGCGAGGAAAAATGTAGCTGGGGCAATGGAGGTAACTGGGAAAAATCAATCGTGAATTATGAAAATCTGAGGTTTACATTTGAGATTTAAAAAGGTAAGAGAGTTTTTGATGGTAAGATGAAAATATTAGGAACATAAAGGGTCAAAATTTGAAATGGGTATCTGGTTTAAATTTTCAATGTCTATTGGGAACCAAAACTAAATATGAGAAAGATAAAACTTAAAAGTATGAGTTGTAAATGGTGAAGCATTGTTGAGTCGTACCATATGCATAAATGACTTGTGATTAATTAAGACTGTATGCATAAAGAAGCAGTACCTTATGCATTTAAGGTTGTTTTTAAGACTTTTATCAAATCTGCTTTATAAGGTAATATAGATAACACTATCTTTCTGAATCTCGATACGGTCCCTGTCTCAAAATAAGTACATTCAACGTCCATGTAGTTTGTATTTTGTTTCGTTCTAGTTTCTTTGCCCTAACTCCGTTAGCTCAAGGGTATGCTCGTCTTTTTCTATCAAAAATTTCTTTAAACCACCACTTAGATGATGCCATTTGTAGGGGTGTAAATCGGATGGAATCCAATTGATTAAAGTGAATCTGATCCGATCCAATCATCCAATGGATGATGGATTTTTTTCATTTTATACAATCTAATGCATGATTGGATCAGATCGGTTCCATCATATCCGTTGAATATTACTATTGGTTATCCATTTGATTGAATTGGATCTATCCAGTATTTGGAAATAATTGTTAACCAATTAATCCACCATTTCAACCAATTATTATATTTTCTTAATTTATCAAAAAACATTACATATAAATTGATATTAAAAAATAATATTGTAAAATGTTAATAGTTATATATAATTATTAAGTGGAGGGTTGTAGGAGTAATTGAATGGTTATTGGATTGGATCCATTCGGTTTTATTGGATTATGGATTGTCATCATAGAACCAACCGATTCAATTGGTATTTTGAAATTTTGTATCTGACCCGACTCAATTACAACTGGCTATTCGATTATGGTTGGTCACTTGTAATCGGATCAGTCTGTTTAAATTGGATCAAATGATTTTCTGCTCACGTACCTCTAGCCATGTGTCTCGCTTCATGTCCCTCAACCACTTGCAACCATCTCTCTCCCGTTAAAACCATCTCTCCATCAACCACCACCACTATTGACCACCGCTAACACAAATCCAAACACAAATGAGGGTTTTCAAAACTCTAAATCAAACACATCCAAACTAAAAGTTCAACAACTTAACATATGAACATAAACAATATGTGAGAAAAACCAGTATCAGAATCAAGAGGGGGTTTCTTGGTAGAAACCAGGCAGCAACTGTAGTTATTCTCATTCCATAAGTTTCCAAATTTTGTAACGTAAGTTCTTTTAATATGTTTCATATTTCTAAGTCCTACACTTTTGGTCTTATTCCTTTCATTTGGTACCCAACTACTAGATCTTGAGAATTTCACGAGTAAATTACCTGTGTTGGTTAGTCAGTTTGCTCAATCACGTTCATGAAAACTTATCTTGATTGATAATTATATTCATCATATGTAGTTTATGATTAGTATTTTTGAGAACCCAATATCGGATAAAACCTGATGTTCTATTTTTTTTCACAAAATAATTACGTGAGAAAATGGTTTGGCGGTACTCATGACAGTGGAATATTGTAGAAGATTGATATCTGCAAATCTCATGTGTTAGTCTAAGATGTATCTTTCTTTAATTCCATAAGAATTTTCTTTGTTCATTTCTCTTCCAAATCATGAGACATGATTAAATTGTTCAGATACAATATTTATGGTCGGTATTTCATAACCAAGTATGACATTAGACAATCAAGCCCCCCTTATCAAAAATTTCTAGGTCCGCACTGTTTAAGAGGTGTGACATGACCTACGATAGCCTGAAACTGTCTTGGTAGCAAGATGCGTATCTCATGTCTTGTCAACTTCAAGGCATCTGTTATGGTGTCGTCGTGGCAGGATGTATCATACTGCTGCTATGGCACATGTTTTTTTAGCCGTTTTTTACTTTTTTTTTAAGTAACTCCAAGTTTATTTTTTTAATATATATGTATATAACTATATAATATTTATTTTTATACGAATTTAAATTATTCAATATTTTTGAGTAGTGGTAGAAATGTGTGTGTGCACACATACATTCTTGTTGTCATAAACCACACTTTGACAAATATTATAGCTCTTAAGGCTTGATTTTTACCATGTCATGTATCGCGCTACTATAAACATCGCTTTCATCGGCAAAAGTGTGGGTCGGACGTCAATGCTCATCCACATGTTGATACGGGTGTGATATGCAAGGGAAAGGAGAAAGATGATATTATTCGGTTTTGGTACATCAAGGGATCGATATTTTGTGTTGACAGGTTCCGGACACAAAGCACAGTTGAGATAAATATACTAGGTAAGACTAGGAGGGTACTCGCGCAATGCAACGAGATACATCTCGATTTTAATGTTTCGTTTTATTCTATCTTCGTCAATGTTATAATATGATTTTATATGGTACTGTGAAAACGATAATGTTTTTATTTTATGAATAAAATATAAATTTGATGGCATCATAAAATTTTGAAGAAAAAAAAGGTATCAATTTTAGTATCAAATTAAATATTTAAAAGTTATTTTTTTGTATAATTTATTTAATTCAATTCTTATTGTAATTTAATTTACATTTGATAATAATGTCATTTATTTTTGGTTTAATAATATAATTATTTTATAAAAATAATAATTAGTATTTTGTTAGAATTCGATAATTATCCTAAATATATTTTAGATTTTTTGTATTTAAAATGAGATACTTATCTAGTATTTGGTTATATTATCTGTAATTAATTACACGAATTCAAACATGGAGTTTTAATAAGTTGTACATATACACAATTTACTTACAATCTTGAAATTTAAGTAATATATATCAATAAACAGTATTTAATTCATAAAAAATAATTTTTAATTTTTTTTATCAAATACTATAACATTGATTCCTTCTCCCACCTACCCTTTCTCTCCTAATTGGTAGCATGTTACTATATTATTTGAATACTCAACAATTTTGAATGTAATTAAATAAATTGAAAATAATTTTGAAGCTATTAAATTATGTTGTGTAAACACAAATTTTAATTTTAATGCATTTAATTAAAGGAAAAATCGGATTTATAAACATTTTTTCAAATCGGAAAGTAATTAATTACCGATGACTTCTTGGCAAAACCGGAACGTTGGATTTGCTGATGGGTTCTCGACAACCATGTTATCGATGACATATGCCATCGGTATTTCCAGGAGATCTGATGGTAACCATCAATAAAATATGGTTTCACATTTCGTTTTTATAAATATAAAATTATTACTAACGGATTTGTTTGTCGCTAAATTTTAAAACTCCGTCAATAAAAATTATTAGTATAAATTTATAGATCAAGCTCTTAGTTTTTTACATTAAAAAAACCATCAAATATTAATCGACTCTACTAACAGATTAATTACCGACAAATATATCATTCGATGAAACACTAATTCGTATAGTGTCATGCCATTTAAAACCTTGGAACGTTTAATTTACAAAGTTTCTTTAAGGTATGAATATACTTTATTAGTGAACCATGTATCCAGACCCCCCCCCCCCTCTCGTCCAATCGAATATGAAAAAGGTCCCAAACAACTATATTTGTTGGATTCATGTCTATCAATTATATAAATACCCAATCATCAGAGAATGAATGTGAATTTGAATAAAATAAATCTAAAATATATAAAAATACGATATGTCTCAACTTCAATGGTTAAACATGAATAAGACGTGTGATTTTGAGACAACAGAATTTTATTCATATTTGACTAGTTGCGTACCCGCGCAATGCGGCGGGAGCTGTAAATTTTAACGATTTTGAAGTTTCACTGGTTTTATTAAAGAAGATTTAACGATGAGATAAGTTATACTTGATTTTTACATATCAATACAATTTGAATAAATAAGAGTTATGGTTCCAATTACAGTCTATCGATGAAAAAAATTGTATGACAATTTAAAATCTATTATATTTAAAATCCAACATATTTAAATGACTCCATAAGTGTGTTCGATTTACATCAAAAGCAAAATATCAAGAGACCGAGAGCGAGACCAAAAGTTATAGAACAATTGAATGAGAGATGAATGAATTTTTTTTTAATAACTCATGGTGAATATCAGTTTGAATCTCACCTTGGGGATGAGGAGAAAACATAGAGATATGAGAGGGTGAAAACATGAGTAAAAGATGTCAAAAGTATCTTGAGAACATGAAAAGAAAAAAGAAATAATGTATATTGGTAACTTACACTTGTGTTATTTTAACTGTAGATTAAGAGATTTTAAAACTTAATACATAAAGTAGTAGTACTTAATACATTATGAGTTGTTTTTAAGACTTTAAAAACTATATACATAAATGTATAGTACTTTATACATTAAAAATTATTTTTAAAATTCTTGATAAATCTGATTTATAAGATAATATAGATAACGTGAAATTAGGACTTCATCGATAAATGACCCAAAAATATTTTCCAAATTCAAGAGAACTCTACACAATTTCCGACGACGTGCATCCACCAATCACGAATTAAAAACATGTTTGTAGTAAATTTGGTAATTTTATTTGGAATTCAATTTAAGGAACTGCAAATTTTCTATATCTTGAGGAGTCAAAGGGACACGTGGCACGTAAATCCTTTTGGAACATACGATTCATTCGTGTCAACAAGGTTTATCCATAACGTGTGGAAATGTCGTACGAACATTCAAAGTTGACAACTCTCAACACCCCTTTTTCCCTACTTTTTAACCTAATAATTTTCTTCAGATTTCATGTTAAATCTACAGCTAAATCTCTATAAATTCATCAACGACAATAAAAACACATTAAACATCGCAAAATTCAAACGTTTTTCATTTCCAAAATCGGCAAGTTCTTCATTACATATAAATAATCTTGGATACAAGATTGTATAGCAAAATGGTGGCAACGATGGTTCTTGCTTCTGGTAATTTGATGAGTAGTACTGAATATTGTAAAAGATTCCTGATTGCCCGTTTGCAGATCAATAAGAACATCACCACCATCGGCTTCCATGGTCAGCCGTTGCATGTTGGTGGCACCACCGCAAGCCGCCAAGCACGAAAACACTTTTTGGTGTACAGTTCTCGTCAACCAAGGAATCCTCCTCCTCCAACTTCGTGGTGAGTTGTATATAATTTTAGATACATAAATTCAGTCATGGTTTTTGTATCAACGGATATTGTGAATCTACTCTATTTTTGTGTGGTTTTTTAATTAAATTGTTTCATGTATTTATTTAAGTGTGTGAACATATACAAGGAAATTATGTAATTTTTTTTATTAATCTGAATATTCAACCCGTTATTCGAGCCGACTAATTCTAGGGCGACCACCTGCTTTGCAGATAACCCGGAGTCACCGCATTTAAACCTCCGTGGCTACAAGAGAATTTTTATTCCTCCGTGGATTTGAACCTGGGACTTGAACCTGGGACCTCCTGATACTTCTAACCTTTGGAGTCACACTCAAACCAATCAGACACCACCCTAATTGCAACTGATATTTATGTAATTCTTTTATTGCAGGCAACAATGGATTTTTGGACTAATAACTACGGTGATCGTACCATTTTTCAGTAGAAAATGGAACCAGATATTAAAAATTAAAGGTAAACTAAAAGATTATGTATGTATTTTATAATATTTTTATATTATTCATTTATGGGTTGAGAACGTGAGAATTATAGTTAACGGGTGATAACAAAACCTTCATATACCGTCGTCTTTTATTTTCAACTATCTTTACGTACCTATTTTTTTATCATCATATATGAAGTTATTACAAATCTATCAACGTGAAATTGATTAAATATATGTAAAAGTTTGTAAAAATATAGATAAAAGTGAAGATACGGGTCTGTTTGTTTTTCCAAAATTACCTCTTCATACCTCTGAAGTGTGATTTGTTCAAGCGTTTGGGTATTAAGAGTGTTTGTTTTTTTAAATAAGAGCTTAAAAACTCTAAATGTCCTCTGAAATTTTAAGTGGTTAATGCATCCATTAATACCACTTAATCCTAATATGTTATTAACACGTGGTTCATATTTTGGGGGCTAGAAGAGATTTGTTAGAAATAATTATTCATTTTTTATATTTTTGTAGAAAACTATTTATCTTTTATATTTTTGTACTAATTTGACCGATTCAGATTTCAGACTTCAGACGTAAAAACAAATAATCTTATTGATTCAGATTTCAGATTTCAGAACCAGCTCTTATAAATCAGAAGTGAAATCAAACTTCAGACTTTAACATCTCTTAAAAAATAAACGTCACCTAAATATAATTGAAAGCAGATAAAAGTAGATGAAGTTATATTAGAAAGTCAAATCATCAAAATACTTAAAATTGTTCTCATAATTCTCACATAAAGTGTTATTCACATCCGATCCCAAGCCTTCATAACTATCTACATTTATGTATTTGAGTGGGTAATTAGTGTTTAATTATTTCCATTTAGGTAAGCGTTTATCGGTAAAATTTAACACTATTATTTACTTATTGAGTAAAATTTAGTCCACTAAAACAACATCGTATGCAACAATTTACATGGTAAGCGTTTACCGTGGTAAGAGTCGTCGCCCTCACTTACCGGGTAAGACTTTTGGTCCTTGTCTCGCTTTTACTGGGTAAGATTCTTAGTCCTTATCATATTCATCCGGTATGGTAATGAGACTTAGCAAGCACTTACCCGGATAAGCATTTGATAAACGATCCCTTAATCTATGTTAAAATAGAAAAAAGTATACTAACCATTTAAAATGTTTAAAATCAAAATTATAATGATAACTATAAATAAAAGGGTCTAACTTTTTCCATACAGACGGAGTTGATACAGTGATTGAGGAAACAGAGAAAATAGCTGATTGTGTCGAGGAAGTGGCGGAGACTGTGGACAAGGTGGCAAAAGACGTGGCAGATCATCTTCCAGAAGGTGGACAATGGAGAAATGCTGCAGTCTTCGTTGAAGGTGTGGCAGAGGAAATAGCAAGAGAAGCTCACTTGGTTGAAGATTTTCTCGATAAGGTTTTTATTTTCTTTTTTATTTATTTAATTAATTTATTGCTTTTTATACATAAAAAATGGAGTTAGTAGGTTTGAATTTGATCGATATTCTTACCATGTCGTTTAATTAGGTGGAAGAAGTCGAAGAGAAGGCAGAGTTATTGTTCGAATCGGTCAATGATCAAACCAAGAATGCTCATGAAGATCTTAATACAAGATGATTAAAAATTCGTTATTTTTTGAGTTTATATGTATATAATCATAAAATATTTCATTGATTTATGTTGTAAAAAACATTATTGTAATTAAAAAATATGTATAAATAATAGCATTGATATTCATATGGTACGTTTTTTCAAAGTCCATCCAACATCAAACCATGGTCCATGGTCCATGGTCCGTAAGGCCCTATCTTTGACATTTAATATGAATAACTTCGGTTCAAACATGTTGACGTTCCGTTCGAACACCTTTTTACATAGTTGTTTCCACAACTGTGTAAAAATGTGTAAGCATTTTGTATGGTTATTTGGAAAAAAAAACGTTTAAAACTGTCTTGAAACGTTTTCACACCATTTTAAAAAAGATATTCGTGTAAAAAACGTATACATTTTTACACTGTTTTGAATATAAACCGTGTAAAAAAGTCTTTTAGCCTTTTTACATGGTTTCTATTCAAAAATTGTGTACAAAGAGATCTTTATACACGGTTTCTATTCAAAAACCGTGTAAAAAATATCCCATTTTACACGGTTTTTCTCATCTTTTTACACGATTCCAAAACCATGTAAAAAGATCAGTCACTTTCTTACACGGTGTGCTTTTACACGGTCTCAAAACCGTGTAAAAAAGCCATTTAAGTAGTAGTGGAAGGAGGTCTGATGCAAACCTCCATGAAATACAGTAAAGGTTAACATTGATGCGGCCTTGTTCAGATAACTGGGAGATTTGCCTTTTGTTGTGTTGCTTGGGACGATGAAGGAAGGTTCATTTGTACGAAGAGAGCAAGTAGAGGGGGGATGGTGGAGCCAGTTGTAGCATAAGCAATTGGCTTGAAGGAAACGTTGATTCAGATAAATACTAAAGGCTGGAGATGAGCGGTGGTAGAAATAGACTGTCTGGTTGTGGTCCAAGTAGTACAAGGTTGAATTCGTCGTTTGGCTCTATTATCCAGGATTGCAAGAGCATTCTTCGTGATGTCCAGAATATCTCCGTTCTTTTGATGAAACGGTCTGAAACACGATAGCACATGTTGGAACTTAGTTTATACACTTCTATGCAAGGGGAGGTTCTTAATTGGCACTTACAAGGAGTTATTGGCCTTCTAGATTCCATGCACATTTCCAATATATTTGGCACTTACGGGTCAAATGATGAAAGTCATCACTTCATCATGACGTATGGGCCTATTTTGGCCATTTGGGCATGTTTCAGGCTGCAAATCATCGTCTTTAAGTTTTCAGTAATTTTCCGTATTTAATTTTTGTTTCATGATCATTTCATTTTCGACCCATGGAAGCTTTAAGCATGCTTGTTAGTGTCGATACGGTTTCAGTTGTCTTCTATATAAACACCCTTGAGGTGTTAACGACTTCCATTAATTTATTATTCTTAATAAAACATTTTAAGTTCATCTCTTATTTCTTGTTAAGTTTATTGCAAAGAGACACTTCCATTTCTACGATTCAAAGCTTGTTAACCATCCTTGTTTCCAGGTATACTGCGCCAACTAGGGATGCTCAAAAACCTGATCAATCCAACCCAACTCAATCCGAAGCAACGCAATGTCTAATCGAGTTGTAAAATTTTCAAACCGTAGGTATTGGGTTACTATTATTTGAATCCAACTCAACCCGTTGAACCCAATATTCTTTTATTTCTTGGATTTAATATGATTGTTGAGTTTATATTAATATATACATTAGACAATTGCACTCTCACATATATACGTTCTTCATATATACATATTTTCAATCTATTTTCCATCTCTATACAACTCATTCCTATATATATTCAGTAACTGTGAACATATATATGTAAATTGAGAAAGTTAATTGAATGTGATATACATAAGAAGTATATGTAAGTTGCATCAAGTTGTTGATGATGAAAAAAAAACATATTCAAGGTTAGAATGAATATTTTAATGTACCAAAGTATCAACTCTACCAACCTGACTAATCCGATCAACCCGTATGATTTGGGTTGGGTTGGGTTAAAAATTTTTCAAACTGCAAACATTAGGTTGGATTGTTCAAATGTCTTCAACTCAACCCATGAGCACCCTTAGCGCAACAACTCAATACAGAGCGGCTTTGGACCTGCACATATTCAACAAAAAATTATGTGCAATTATAGTAACATCTCCATTGGGG